CAGTCACAGGGGCCACCCCTCCCAGCAGTGGCTCCCTGCTCCCAGTTAAGAGCCTCCTCCCCCCTCCCACCCTACATCTCCCCCATCCAAAATTGTAAATAAAAAGTTCCAAATGTTATGTTGTGTTCTAAAAAAACCCTTGTTGGTTGTTTATTGGGAGGTAAGGGAAGGAGAGGAGGGAAGGGTTGGGGATGGAAGGGAGATGTAAAGAGAGACAGAGGCGACCCTACTGTGGGGCCTGGGAGAACATCTCCATCAGGGCCTCCTGGATGCCCACCCCATCACGGTGCGCTTGATGGCTGGCAGCTGTGTGGGACTGTTGAAAGGCCTGGCCCTCACCTGCCATCCATACCGGAAGGAAGGCCTCCCCCCTCTGCTCCACGATGTTGTGGAGCACACAGCACGCGGCCACTACCTCGGGGACATTCCGCTCACCCATCTCCAGATGGGTGAGCAAACACCGAAACTGGGTTTTCAGACAGCTGAAGGCGCACTCGACCTGGTTGCAGGCCTGGTTGAGGCAGTCATTGAACCGTGCCTGGTTGTGGTCTGTCTGCCCCGTGTAGGGCCACATTAACCAGGGCAGCAGGGGATAGGCCGCGTCCCCCACAACACGTGTGGGCATGGACACGTCCCCGTCAGTAAATTCCCGCTGGGGGAAGTAAGTGCCTGCGTCCAGCCTGCCAAACAGGCCGGAGTTGCGTAGGATGCGGGCGTCATGTGCGCTGCTGGCCCAGCCTGCATAAATGTCCAGGAAGCGGCCATGGTGGTCCACGAGGGCCTGGAGTATGATTGAGAAATACCCCTTTCTGTTTATAAAATGGGCCTCTCGATGCTCCGTGGCACGGACGGGGATGTGGGTTGCATCCAGGGCTCCCCCACAGTTGGAGAACCCCAGGGCAGCGAAGCCAGCCACTGTAGCCTCCACGTTGCACAGGCAGATGACTTACTGGAGCAGGACATCGTTGATGGCATGGACGACCTGCAGAAGGGTGCACAGAAACACAGGGGAACGCATCACATAAGGCAGGGTGAGTGCATGCTCCCACTTGCCCCAAGATCCTTCCCCCCCACCCCACCAGCAGGCCTGTGCAAGGGAGGGACAGCCCAAACCCCTACGTGATGGGGCATTCCCCATCGGCCCAGCCTGGAGTCTTGCCTGCCCCTGGGCATGAAGTGCAGCACCCTACCCTGCCCCTCACCCCCATGACTTACCTGCATGATGACGGCACTGACAGTCAATCTGCCCACCCCGAACTGGTGTGCCACCGATTGGTAGCTGTCCGGGGTGGCCAGCTTCCATACTGCGATGGCGACCCTCTTGTCAACGGGGATGGGTGCCCGCAGCCGGGTGGTGATTCTCTGGAGCGCAGGGGCAAGCCAGGCACATAGCTCCAGAAACGTCTGCTTTCGCATCCGAAAGTTCCAGAGCCATTGCTGGTCATCCCATTGCCCCAGGACCAGCTGGTCCCACCAGTCGGTACTGGTGTCCAGTCTCCACAAGGGCCTCTCAACGGTGGGGTGGGGATGCCACAGGGACACCATGGCCTCCCTAGTGAAGGAGTCCAGAGTGACCTGCGCCTCGAGGTCCGGACTTCTGCTTTTGCGCAAAAGCGCCCCGCCAATGTAGACACGCTTTTGCACAAAAGCGCATCGTTCTTACGATATAGATGCTTACGATATAGATGCTTTCTTGTGCAAATACTCTAATGCAAAAACTCTTGTGTTAAAAGTATTTGCGCAAAATCAGGCCAATGTAGACGTAGCCTCTAAGTCTCTCTTAAGTTCTCTATAACTTACAGCTTTTTAGCATTTAAGCTCTGCTTCTTCTACTAAAGAATTGAGGAACCTGGATCTGAACTCTCTTGGCATGCCAGAGGTGAGACTTACACTGGTCTTGCTATGGAGGAGCTTGGCTGATGTAGACTGAAGCCTGCCCGTGAGGCAAGGAACTAGACTTTGGGCTGCTGTTGGCCACAAAGGCCAATGTAGACACACTGCTGATACCCCCAGAGTGGTGGGCCCTGCTGGAGAGCAATGCCCTGAAGAAGACATCACAGTTTAAAATGCAATGCATTTTCAGGCAGTGGAGATAGCAGAGCAAAATGACAACAGGTGAGACACGATCCACAGAGGGCAGCAAGGACTGGATGTGAGTTAATTTGGCTGTTGAATATAGTTCAGATGAGCTCAGTTTAGCATGTCATGGTGCTCTGTAGAACTTGATTGTCATTATTTTGTACGCCCCTAATCTTTATTTGTGAAATGACCAATAATAATGCTCTCTTCCAGACAATACATGGAGAATGATATTTGTATTTTGTATGTATATATGTCCCTCAATTTACCTACTTAACATTGAAGGCTGACATACAGAGTTAAATGAGGCTGTTAGGGAGAACAAAGTAGGAAAAAGAACAATGACAGAGATAAGACACCTCCAGAGAATACAAAATACCCTAAAGAGAACGAAGAGGCACCATCTATTGGGAAATGCCTATCACCTGCCTGATTAATAGGTTTATTTTATCCAGGGCAATGCCTACAATCAAAGGGATACTAAAGTGTTTTTAAAAGTCATGTCTAAAGCAAAGGAGGGGTGAACAAGTACCAACTTCTTGGGGAGAGATTTTTGTCAAGTTGCTCTGTGACAGGCTATTACTCTCCTGCATTTCAGTCTCCCAATCCAGAAAAGGAAGTAGTCGCGTTAAGTTGAGCTTTTTATGTTCCACGGAGTTGGGAAACAGAGTAAACCATTCAAGTGCCAGCACGGTCAAAGTGTGGATTCCACTTTCTATCCCAGAGAAAATAAAAAAAAGTCACCTGAAGGGTGCACTTAAGAGAGACTGGAATGGGGTCTGAAATGCAGCTTGTCCTGTAACCATAACATTGTTGAGATTGAATAACGTTGGCCTGAAAAAAAATTATTCTCCATTGTCAATGGCTTTAACTCCTTCTGGACAATTCTCCACTTAACTAATAAATCTGTAGAAGTAATGGTAACACATGTTTAATCATGTTAACTGCTGACAGACTGATTTTGTTGAGTACTATTTTTAAGCAGACTGTTGTGCAGTATTTAGGCAAAGGAAAGGCTGTAGTAGAGCTAGGTATGATGGCATTGTTCATGTTTACAAACTACCCTGTTAACATTTTTCAAACAGCAAAATGTCCTCACCTCTAGTAACCAGTCTCCAACTGTAACAGTAGCAAAGCTCTTCCCAAGGAAAAGGGCAGGAAAGTAATTCCTCTGAAGGTTCCCTGCTCTTCCCTGGGAACAGTGTTGTCCTACAGAGCCTCGCATGGCGAGCACATGCTGCAGCTAGGCCGGGACAAATGCAGACCTTTTCGTCGTGCAGGATCAGGGCTCTGCCAGTACCGGGGCAGCACCGTCCATCCATGTGCAGGAGCAGGAATAACGTGCGAATAGGAAGAGTGCCACCTAATGCTGGAAGGGGGATGGGAGCAATTGAGGGAAGCGGTGGCTGGGGGCGAGGAGGTGGACGCGCCTGTCAGCGGGCGCACCTGCAGCGCGGGAAAAGCGCGTGGTGCGCAGCACCAGCTGATAAGACTAGCCATGTAGGCAGGAGAACAGCTCGCGCCTGTTTGGGAGGGGGGGATACGTGCGCATGCGCGGCTCCGGCTGCCTCGGAACCCTGGCGGCTTGGCCAGCCAGGGCCGAGCGTGAGCAGCCGGAAGTGACGTCGTGCCGAGGGTAAACAGTTGAGCCGGAGCCTGGTAACCAAGTGGCGGCTGCAGCAACAGTCGCCGGCGCCCCCGCGCGGGGCCAAGCGGCAGCTCCGCTCGGGCTGGGCAAGCCGCGGCGGCGGCCGGAGACCCCGCTCCCGAGGGTGGCGTTAGCGGGCAGCCGCTCTGCCCGAGCCGGGCAGCGGGGGACGCGGCTGCGAGCGGGAGGCGGCACCGGTCGATGGTCTCCCCCGCCGCTTTCAGCCGCACCTGGCGGGGGCGCCCGGGCTGAGGGAGCCGGGACCGGCGCCACCGCCGCGGGGAGTTGAGGACGCTCCGCCTGTGACCCGGGCAGCGTGTGCGGTCAGCGCGTTGCGGCGTCGCTCCGCTGCCCCCCGGTCGCTTTCCTGGAAAGCGGCGCGGGAGGGGTAACGGGGTCTCGCGGTGAAGATGGCGACCCCCGGGATAGCAGCTCCTCAGCCAGCGCAGGGAAATTCACCGCGTCCAATTCCCAAGCGGGGCTCAGCGTGGAATACAGCCAGGATCTGCACCTCAAAATGAGCAAGAAAATAGCCCAGCTCACCAAGGTAAGAGCTTTCCTCCCCACTCTCCGGCAGGGTCGTGTCTCCTGCTGCGAAGTGCTCTGCAGGTGAAAGGAACAGATCGCCCAGCGCTTTCTCGTCTCTTTCAAGCGCCTTCCTTCTGGGAGGTACAAAACTGGCTTAAAATCCCCCATTACGATGGAGATCTCTGTCATTACAACCTGACGGATCAGTCTCTTTTAAAAGCGGCGTGTGGATTGGCTGCGCTGCCCCGGTTTGCAATGATACCTCAGTTCCCCAAGGTAGAATCCACAACCTTGGTAGAATCAAATAGATATAGTGGAATTCACGATTGTCTTGACGTCTGTTGAAGGTGAAATCGTAAAGCAAAGGATGACAGCCAGTGAGATAGTTTGTTTAAAAAGTGACATTAAAGTGCTTTGTAAAGCTGTAAAGTGAGCCCCAATTAATTCTTTGTGTACATAGTTTTGCCTGTATAACTGTTTAAACTGGCACTGAATTTTATGTTTATACACTGAAATTTATAGGGTTTTTTTAAAAAACTTGTCGTTTGCATAAGAGGTAGCTAAGCTATTTTAGTAAACTTGACTCTTGCTCTGCTTTTGACTATGAATTAACTCTTGAGTAATTAGTTGGTTTTTTTGAGGGGGGCCAGGGAAAATTTAGTTTTGTCTTTCCGATTTAATGGCTTTTATGATAGGATCCTAAGCCCTGTTAGATGAGACTGTGCATACATTTTTTTAAAGCTGACATTTTAAAGGAATATTGTCAAGATTAGTAGACTGAAGGATGGCAAGAACTATTGATTGCTATGGTTGTGATTTGTGTGCTCAGAATAACTTTTTACAAATGCATAATTCAAGTCTATACTTTTCCTAGGTATGAAAAAGAATCACAGTGCATGAACAGCTTTGCATGAGGGAAATACAAAATGTGTGTTAATTTCCCTTCATCTGTTAAATAAAACATTGTTTCGAGCATCGTATAGCTTATATTTAAAACAAGAAGATCTCAAACCCATAAGTGATAAACATATTAGTATCTTTCAAACATCTGCTAAATTGGAGAAAGAAAAACATTTAATCTTTGTTCAGCCTTTTTGCTGAACAGAAGCATCATACAGGCCATACCAATCTTGTATCTAATTTTTGAATGAAATTAAAGGCAAATACTCCAGAGTTTGTAAATGTGGACACCATAAACAGCATAATATGCTATCTCTATTAGAAAACAAATTAATTTGACAAAGTCAGATTTTTTTTTCTTTTTCTAGATGTTGACCTAATCCTTGCTCTCATTAACTTAAGTTAGAGAAGGATCAGAGCTTTCCTTAGGAAGTCATTTTCATTTTGGGTAAAATATGGTTAAAGCTAATCAAATAACTGCTGTAGTTTAGCTTATTTTCTATATATGTATTATCTTAAAACTTAAACTGTGTTTTAAAACTAATACAAATTATATTTTTTATCTTTGGTCACCATGTCTGAAGAGTTTTCACTTAACTTCCTAAAAGTGGTGTAAGCCAACTTAAATTGTGGCATGAATGTAAAATAATATTTGTACAGACTAATCCCGTTTTTGGTTCATTTCCTATTTTAGTAGCTTTCACAGCATTTAATTATTATCTTTAGACGCATATTCCATTTCCATAGTAAAATAAATGCACGGTCATATGAGTTCCTGTCATGCTGTATACTCTGAAACGTTCAAGTAGCTCCATATTCAAGGATTTTGTGCATATAAATGTTCAGAAATGTGGTGTTTTGTGGTCTTTTTCCCAGTGTCTTTCATTACAGTAGTTTTATCAGAACTAATGCTACAGTTTATTTAAAGGTTCATGTTGCTATAAAACGAACCCAATACTACGTTATGTATGGGGTTTTTATTTCCAAGGATCCCAAAACGTTTCATAAAGCTAAGTACAGTTTAAACCTCTTTAACTTGGACTTTCTGGTTTTTCAGCATCTGTGGCCCAGAAGGGCCATGGATGTTCCAGGATGAGAGTCCCAGTGAAGTCTTCTAGCTGGGAGCCCTGCATCAGGGCTGGAGCCCAGTAGTGGGGCAACCCTGTGATGGAGCTGGGACCTTGACAGTTGGGCTGCCCCAGAGTGGGAGCAGGAGCCCAGGAGTGGGGCTGCCACCCAGCAGCACAACCAGGAGTCTGGCAGTCCTGCAATTACCCAGCGGAGATGCCCGGAGTGGCTGGGGGACACCTGCCTGGTGGGACTGGAGTCCAGCAGCAGGGCTGCCACCTGGCAGCTCAACTGCCAGGGGGAACTAGGATCCCTGCACATGGAGGGGTGTGTGGCAGGTGGGGATCTGGCAGTAGGCCATGGCTAGGGGTGCCAGTGCTGAGGGAAGGGGCATAAATGATCTCCTGTGATCTGGCAAAATTCCTCATCTATGACTGGTTAGGTCCCGAGGAACCTGTGTGTGGGTCACCCTTCAGTATATGTATTAAAATGTTGGGTAAAATACAGATTAATGGCTTGTCCATGCAAGTTGGGATTCTAGCTGGGTCATATATGAAGGTCTAGCTATGCTGGGACTAACCATGTGGACCCTACTATTATACATTAAAAGTTCAGAACTTATAGCGCATGGGAGCAGGATCCACATAGGTAGGAGGTGTGTGGCAAGCTATTGCGCTATAAGTTTACATCAGCATACCCCATGTTCTCTGTATGGGTAAGTACCACAGTCCTGATCCTGAAAAGTTGTGTGTGTGTGTGAGGCTTTATAGCGTCAAGTCTTCATATTTGTTTGCTGGCAATACTATAGGTTCTACTGGCTTTTGTTCTGCTTTTGTTACGGAAATACTCTTGTTCCAGATACTAGTAGCGGAATTTTTCAGGGGATTGAGCCTAGAGTAGAAGAACTCACAGAAAATGCCTTGTCACTAGTTAAGTCTCACTCGAGTAAATCAAGAGGGTTACATGTTTGGGTACCTCTGTGTCCCTATTATTGTGATAATGTAATAGCTGTTATCAGTTTCTTAGGTAAATAGGTCCCAAATCTTTTTAGGGATGTACGTAAAAAACACCTTAAACTCCATACAGAAGCTGGTTGGTAAGCAGTGCAAACTATGGAACACTGAGATTATTGTTTGTAGTAATATTTCAGTATCTACAAGTTCCAGTTACGGGCTAAGACCCCACTATGCTAGGTATTGTACATCCATAGAACAGATGTCACTGCCCCAAAGAGCTTACAATTTAAGTAATTTTTTCTAAGGGGAAAAGACATATTGAGTTGTTGTCTGCATAGTCTCAGATGCAAGCCTTACATTTTTGTATGTGATGGAAGAATTTTAAAAAAAGTTCAAGTGACCTTAAAATGATATCTTCCAAATAGAGCCAGAAATTCATCTTAAATTGTGTTCCGGGTGTTGAAATTTCAGCCCATCTCAAGCAAACAAATACTTTTTTTCCCCTCCACAGCAAGCAGTTATTTCATACTGCTTTGATATTCAGACATGCAGTTGGTCAAATGTTCATATGCAATCACATATAATCACAGATTATTTCTTGATGGCATGCTTTAATTTTGTTGTCAGATACTGTTTTATCTTCTAAACTGGTACACAGATCTTTTGAAGCGCCTGGAAATAAGGCGCTTAAGCCAAATAGGGATTAAAATTGTTTCAGCCATGATTTACCACACATCTCCTACATGAGGCATCCTTTTTTTAAGAGTTGTATTTGTTACTACTATCTGATCTCTGTTTTCCCTGTGATTTAAGTACTTTAAAGTTACTGATTATGTACTGTTGGTCTTGAGTACTTCAAAATTTTCAATATGTTGATACGCTAACTTAGAGAAAACTAACGTGTATGGTTTTGCAAGGGCAGACTAGAACCTGTGTCTGGGATGGCTGCTATTTCTATACCACAACAATGTAGCTATGGTAGGACTGCATCTATTACCTCCTCAGACCCTGAAGGGAGGAGCCCCAGAAGTAGTACCACCTCAGAAGGTTGGACTGAAAATTTCTGTCATGGTACCTGATTGGTCCATGTATTAGGTCAGGAGAAGTTTGAGGATATGTCAGTGTAGTGAGTCACTATTTGAATAATGGGACATGGGTGGGCACCCACTGCTAAAGGCCCCTCCCCCAGCCTTGTGAGAGGGACAACTGAACCCAGATTTCAACTGAACACGGGGGACAAATAATGAATAATGGGATCATGGGTGTGGGTCAAAGGTTTAAAATGAGGGATCAGGATGGGGACACTGAGCATAGAACCTTGGACAATGCTCACTGCTCCTTGAAGCTGTCCAGGGAGAAAAGTGGATGCCATCCTGAGGAACTCCAGTCTGATGCGTGAAACTATGTCAGTGCAATGAGACAGACTGTGCTGTAATATCTGCATTTTGGCTCTCTCTTGGATTTCTGATTCCTCCTTTGCCCCATAACTTTGGTACTTTGATTTCTGACTGCAGACCCTAGATTTGTGCCTTGGATCACACTCCCTAGTATTGGTACTAGAACTCTACCCCCCGGTCCTAAACTCAGACTACTGCTTTTTGGCCACCCTGCTCCTTTTTGCACATGCACTGATCGCTATGCCTGCCTGCCCTAGCCCTGGTCTCGACAATAAGCAGCTTCTGAAGAGCCTAAGAGTGACTAAGAACCTGAAGATGTTATACTTATGTGTTTTTGCCTCAGTCAGGATTAGGGTCTTGTTGTGATAGGTCTTCTGTAGAGGCACAGAAGACCCTTAAGGAGCCTGGAATAAATGATTTGAGTAGTCCTGAATACAGGATAATTGTTACTGGATTACTGTTTCAGTTTTTTTTTTTTTTTTTTTTTTATATACTGCATCATCAGAGTCCTTAAAGTGCTTTTAACATATGAAGCAGGCATCTCAAAGATCTTGATTGTATATGTACTTTATGAATTACCTATGTGCCTGTGGATGAAATACTTTCATCTTTCACTTAATATGCTGGAATTACAAATTGCATTGGGATGAAAACTAAATCCAAATAACGTGTATTAGCTGAGTCACAGTGTAGTTTAGTCAGCTGAAACAAGTAGATTAGATAGTTGGAAAATAACCATCTGTATGTGCCTCCATGGGGAGACTTTAGAATTGCAGATTTCTTGAAGTGGGACATTTTGACAGCTGTCAGTTTTTGATACCTACCCTGAAACCTTTATAATGTAATTAGCATTGCTTCAGAGAAGCTATTTCTTCAAAAATAAAAAAGCATCTGAAGGCCAACTACCAGTTAAAATAATATGAAAGTAGATCAGCTCTCCTCAAACACTAAGTTTAAAATTTCCTTTTGTAGGCTGCTTTGTGCTTGGCCCTGTGGCTGATGTTCAGTTAAGAATTCAGCTGGCAACAAGATCTTTTAATGGAAGAACAGTAAACTCTCTTTTCCTAGACAGTTAGGATTTCTTTGTTTGCCATAATGACTAAATATTTCCAAAACCTATTTAGCAATTCCCCCCCTTCACTGTCTTGTTTTCAGAAAAAGGGTTTGTTTATTTGTTTTAAATTAGTAAATTCTTGTAAAGAAACATACAGCTAGAGATTCCTATTGGTCACTATTTTATATGTGGAATTTTCATTGAGGTTAGTGGTTTTTATTTGTTTGTTTATTTATTGGTAAGAAAGAATGATAGGCTTTGGTCCAAACATCTCCACATAGACATGGCAGTATGTTTTTACCTTTACATGTAGTTCATTCATGCTGGATAACTTGATTGAGCATAGGACGTTTGGGCTATGTCTACACTGGAAAGTTTTTGCGCAAAAACTCGCGGAGCATTCACACTTCAAGTGTGTTTTTGCACAAGAAAATTTACAGTGAATCAACAGGACAGAGGGGTTTTTGTGGTATAGGTATTCTTCTTTCTACAAGGAATAACTCCTTTTTGCACAAGAGCTCTTGCGCAAAAAGGTGTGTGTGTGTGTGTATGGGAAACAGGATTTTTGTGTGTGCAGAAACAGCCTATCGAAAGTAGAGCAAGTGTCCTAGTGGCCATTCTGTTAATGGCAATCAGAGTTTTCTTGGCAGAGAGCGTCCATGCAATCTGGACGCTCTCTTGTGCAAAGCGCATCACTTTTCTGATGCGCTTTTGCAGTGTTGATGTGCTCTTGCACAAGAAGTTTTTGCCGAAGATCTTTTCTGCAAAAAGCTTCTTGTGCAAGAAGCCTGCAGTGTAGACATAGCTTTGGAAATAAAACTTGACTCTTGGGAATTCTTTCAAATCATGAGACTTGACTCTGACTCAGTTTCTGATAGCTGTAACTTAAATTGTATGCTATATAAACAATGAGAAAAGAGTGCTTTGTTAAAAGTGAGGTTACTCTCTGCTGTAGCCTTTATCAAATACATTTATAGTCTAAAATAAAGTTAGAAACTTAAGATTGTACCCAGAAGCAATTTCTAGTTTCCATGACCTTTCTTTTTGTACCTGTCTCTCTGAAAGGTCAAAAGACTGTCTGAATGAAATAATAAATTCTGATTTCTATCTGTGATTCCAAGTGTGTCAAATGCTTCTTCTCTACCCCGTCAAGTTAATGCAGTAAGAATGAAATATT